GACGCGTGAGTCTATGACACGTGAGTCGTGGTCTATGACACGTGGTCTATGACACGTGAGTCGTGGTCTATGACACATAAGTCGTGGTCTATGACACGTGAGTCGTGGTCTATGACACGTGAGTCGTGGTCTATGACACGTGGTCTATGACACGTGAGTTGTGGTCTATGACACGTGGTCTATGACACGTGAGTCGTGGTCTATGACGCGTGAGTCGTGGTCTATGACGCCTGAGTCGTGGTCTATGACGCGTGAGTCGTGGTCTATGACGCCTGAGTCGTGGTCTATGACACGTGAGTCATGGTCTATGACACGTGAGTCGTGGTCTATGACACGTGGTCTATGACACGTGAGTCGTGGTTTATGACACGTGGTCTATGACACGTGAGTCGTGGTTTATGACACGTGGTCTATGACGCGTGAGTCGTGGTCTATGACACGTGAGTCGTGGTCTATGACACGTGGTCTATGACACGTGAGTCGTGGTCTATGACGCGTGAGTCGTGGTCTATGACGCCTGAGTCGTGGTCTATGACGCTTGAGTCGTGGTCTATGACGCCTGAGTCGTGGTCTATGACACGTGAGTCGTGGTCTATGACACGTGAGTCGTGGTCTATGACACGTGGTCTATGACACGTGAGTCGTGGTCTATGACACGTGGTCTATGACGCGTGAGTCGTGGTTTATGACACGTGGTCTATGACGCATGAGTCGTGGTCTATGACACGTGGTCTATGATATGTGGTCTATGACACGTGAGTCGTGGTCTATGACACGTGGTCTATGACGCGTGAGTCGTGGTCTATGACACGTGGTCTATGACGCGTGAGTCGTGGTCTATGACACGTGAGTCGTGGTCTATGACACGTGGTCTATGACACGTGAGTCGTGGTCTATGATACGTGGTCTATGACACGTGAGTCGTGGTCTGACACGTGGTCTATGACACGTGAGTCGTGGTCTATGACACCTGGTCTATGACGCGTGAGTCGTGCTCTTTGGTTCTTTCGGTAAAGTGACGTAGATAGAAAATTAATAATAAATCACGACGTTTTGATCGTAACAACAAGCGATCGTCCTCAGGTGAAAGAGAGAAATATGCCTCTGTGATGAGGCATATAATCGATCTGAGAGGGGGGAAGGGGGAGGGGAGGCCGTGACAGGCGAGAGGGTCGGGGTGAAATTCAAAGAGGGCTTAGGTGAGAGAAAAAAAATGTAACAAGGAAGCTTAGATATCAAACTTAACAAAACGGACACATCTAATGCAACTCAAGAGAGTCGGCTAACACAACCGTTAACACGTTACCTGGTTCATCAACATCCTTCCAAAGATTGCTAAATTTTTCATCCACCTTCTCGGTAGAAGTTACGTCTGAGTTGTGTGGAAAACCTCCCCGTAGAGTCGGTTCAATCTTGATTAGAAGCTTTCGTGACGGCAGGAATTCATACTCTTTGAATTTCATCCCCACCCTCTTTAATCAAGACGCGAGTCGTGGTCTACGACACGCGAGCCGTGGCCTTTGACGCGTGAGCCGTGGTTTACGACACGTGGTCTATGATACGTGGTCTATGACACGTGAGTCGTGGTCTAAGACACATGAGCCGTGGTTTACGACACGTGTGCCGTGGTTTATGACGCGTGAGTCGTGGTCTACGACACGTGAGTCGTGGTCTATGACACGTGAGCCGTGGTCTACACGTGAGTCGTGGTCTATGACACGTGGTCTATGACGCGTGGTCTATGACGCGTGGTCTATGACGCGTGAGTCGTGGTCTATGACGCGTGGTCTATGACATGCGAGCCACGGTTTACGACACGTGATCCTGTCGCGGAATTTGGGCAGGCTTTAACTTGAGATGGAATGGCCGGAGGGAGCGGCAGCCACTGCAAGTGTCTTTTGGTTGTCCAGACGGACACCCAACATTTTCAGATAAATTCCTGTTCTTGTTATTGTTGTTTCTGTGCTTATTTACACGGCACAGATTATTTTTTTCTAGGAGTTTTTCTTGATATCGCAATCGCGAGCGGTGGTTTGAAGCTGCTCATTAGCCCCAATCGAGTCTGGAGATTCGGTGTGCGATTCCAAATTGAGTCATTTGCCAGACGTTTAGCCTATACCGGTTACCTTTTGCCTGTACCGGTTATCTTTTCCATTTAATATATTTTTTAGACGTTTCATTTTAATGAACACAGCTGACAAGACGCAAACTGGTCGCTGCGTTTGACATGGAAAATATATACAGGTCCCTCTACTTACGAGCATTCGACTTATAAACTTTCTGAGTTATGAACAAACCTCTCCGTATGTTCAGTTGCCTGTTTAGATCGAGTCGAAAGTTCAACTGCCGCACAATAGATGGCGGTGGTGACATCTGCAGAACGTGAAGAACCAGTGGCATCTACATCTGCAGAACGTGAAGAACCAGTGGCATCTACATCTGCAGAACGTGAATAACTAGTGGCATTTACATTTGCAGAACGTGAAAAAACAGTGGCATCTACATCTACAGAACGTGAAGAACCAGTGGCATCTACATCCACAGAACGTGAAGAACCAGTGGCATCTACATTTGCAGAACGTGAAGAACCAGTGGCATCTACATCTGCAGAATGTGAAGAACCAGTGGCATCTACATCTGCAGAACGTGAATAACTAGTGGCATCTACATCTGCAGAACGTGAAGAACCAGTGGCATCTACATCTGCAGAACGTCAAGAACCAGTGGCATCTACATCTGCAGAATGTGAAGAACCAGTGGCATCTACATCTGCAGAATGTGAAGAACCAGTGGCATCTACATCTGCAGAACGTGAAGAACCAGTGGCATCTACATCTGCAGAATGTGAAGAACCAGTGGCATCTAAATCTGCAAAACGTGAAGAACCAGTGGCATCTACATCTTCAGAAAATGAAGATCCAGTGGCATCTACCTCTACAGGTGATTATGAAACTTTTAAAGCCATTTCCCATTTAGTGTACATGCCGTACATGTTTGGAATCGACAGGAGTAAAGCTTAACTTATGAACAACTCGACTTATGAACAGACCTCTGGAACCTAACTTGTTCGTAAGTAGTGGAGTTTCTGTGTATATTATATATACATATTCATCCCCCACCCCCGTTTGGCCTCAAACATGACAAATGGGATATAAATAAAAATGATGATGTGGACACAAACAAACATATATATTTGTAAGTTTATTTAGTGAAGGTGTGTTATTTTTGTTATTCTCTATAATTACTGCCTTACACAACAGTCTTAATTGCATCATATATTAATTCATGTTTGAAAACAAACCTCCTCCACGCCCTCCATAATGAAAACTAATTTTGTTTCTAGATTAAGCTCTGTATTGGGTTTCACTCGATTTGATAATCACCAGCACAATGCGCTTACACTAGCCTGCGATGGAGCATACAGAATTCCCTCGATATTCGCGAACTTGATATCCGCGAATCGTGATGAGAGATAAAGTGACGAGAGATAAAGTGATGAGAGATAAAGTGATGAGGGATACAGTGGTGAGGGATAAAGTGATGAGAGATAAAGTGATGAGAGATAAAGTGATGAGAGATAAAGTGATGAGAGATAAAGTGATGACAGATAAAGTGATGACAGATAAAGTGCCGAGAGATAAAGTGATGAGAGATAAAGCGATGAGAGATAAAGTGATGAGAGATAAAGCGATGAGAGTTAAAGCGATGAGAGATACAGCGGTGAGAGATAAAGCGATGAGAGATAAAGTGATGAGATAAAGCGTTGATGCATTGCATCATAATTTAAGGTAAGTAAAATGATAAAAAATTATTTTATAATTTAATATATTTCACTTTGTTTATTACAACACATTTTTTTGTGATACGATAATCTTCATGTACTTAACAGCTTATTTACGTATTTACCTTGAAAAGTAATCCATTAAAAGGATAGTTTCTCATCATCCACGAACTTCGCTATTCACGAGCGTCTGCAGAAGATGCATCCTTCGCGAACAATGTGGGAATACTGCACCCCCATCCTCCCGGTCACTGCCCCGCAACAGAGGACGTTTGATTGTCCGCATGTTAACGTTTCAGATCGTCTTCTTCCACGTGTTTTTGCCACTCACGTGGGGGTGCTCTCCTGTCCTTGCCAACTTTACCCACATTTTTATATTCTTAGCTCTTTCGGTAAAGTCACGTTGAAGGGAAACAATAAAATAATAATATATATAAAACAATACAAATTCTCACGACGTTTCGACCATAACACAAACGGTCATCATCAGGTGTGAAAACCAACGGCAAGAAACATTTGAAAGAAGTGGCGGTTCGCATTTATTTATTTATTTCTAAACGGTGTTTGTATTTAAAAAAAAACGTTAGCACCACGGGCAGCGATTTGGCAGTTTGTTTAGAAGGACGAGTCCATCTATGTTCTGAAAAGAGGAGGGGGGGAGACGAAAAATTAATGTATGGTGTCAGAACATAGATGGACTCGTCCTTCTAAACAAACTGCCAAATCGCTGCCCGTGGTGCTAACGTTTATTTTTTAAATAAATAAATGCACCGTTTAAAACTAAATAAATCAATGCAAACCGCCACTTCTTTCAAATGTTTCTTGCCGTTGGTTTTCACAACTGATGATGACCGTTTGTGTTATGGTCGAAACGTCGTGAGAATTTTTTTTGTTTCATATATATTTTATTATTTAATTGTTTCCCTTCAACGTGACTTTACCGAAAGAGCTAAGAACATGAATTACTGCAGTCACGAAAGCTTTAAATCAAAAACTTTACCCACGCTGCCCTGTCCTGCTCCATCTCTCTTCTCGGGCGACCGCGGTCCGATCGCAACGCATCGCCCTCCCCACCACCTCCTCTTCTTCTGCCTTCTTCCTCTTCATCTCTCTCCTTCCACGAGCATCACTCGCCACTTTCTGACCCACATCGTTGTCCTGTCGTCTCTCCACACGACCGAACCACACCCAGAGACTTTCTCTCTCATCTTCTCCGTGATTTCTACCAACTCGACGAGTCTTCCTCTCACTTATTAATTTCTCACACACCTCCACCCCACCCCCCTGTCCTACGGCAGTCATTTCTGCGACGAACCATATCACCACGATTATTATTCGTATCCCAGTATCCACGCGCTGCGCATACGCAGTCTTTACTTACGCTTCATAGACGAGGGGCTGACTCGACGGTCTGAAGAAATACTTTGCAAGCGTGCGTTGGATGACACGACACTGGAGGAACTAGTCTGCTGGTAAATCATTATGAACGCCGATTGGGGCGAGGTACCGGCGCTGGTTATTTACCCGTCTCTTAAGAAGCCTCTATGACAAAATAACACCTTTGTTGTTGTTGTTTTATATAGTTTTTTTTGTTAGTTAACAAAGACACAAAAAAAGCTCAACGCACCTTCATTCCCCAAGGTATGCCCAAAGAGGATTTTTGTTTGTTTTTTTGCTTTTGCAACGGTCCACTTTCACACGATTGGGGGATTTGCGCATTCCGCTATTCATGTATGGCACTTGAAATGCCTCGGCAAATCCAAGGGGGGCCACCCCCTCAAAGCGCGTGCACGTCATCTCATCTCACGTTATCAACCCGGGGCTGGGGGGGGGGGGCAGGGGGGTCGTTGATGCCTCGCGGAAGTCTACAACTAAAGGGGACCCCCCCCCTCCCTCCCTATACCCCTTCCGCTCTCAAGTGGGCAGCCCACCGTCCTCTAGCCAGGACGCAGTGCACACCGGCCTGGGGTGACGGATGGGGTCGGCGGTCATTTGGGTTGTTTGGGGTTCTGCCGAGAGGGGAGTTATTCACAAAATTTGGGGAAAATACATTTCGAAAAGTCGTGTTGAACAATTGGGGTGGGGGGGGGGGGGGGGGGGGGGTGGGTGGGGGTGGGAAAGAGAAAGTAATAACATCGATGTAAAAAATGATAACAAAAGAATAAAACTCGTGGTAACATGGCATGAAAACACATTTCCCAGGGTAAACGGTAACCCAAGAAAATTTAGACTGAAAAATTTTAGTTCTTGTTTGTTTGCTGTCTGCGTAAGACATTTGAATCACGAGTCCTGTAGGGTTTTGTGTTGGGTCTTTTGAAGGGAAAACAACATTCACTCAGGGGGTGGGGGTTTGGGGGAGGGAATCCCATTTTGGTCTGACGAAAACCACCTGAAGAAAAATTGGCAGAGCGGCGTTTAGGGCTCAGTAGGACATTGCCAGTGGCGTTCAACCCGTCGAGGTAAATTGAATTTAAACACCTCACAACAACAAAAACCCACCGAAGATTTTAGCACTTTCGAATAAAAAGTCCGATGGCAGAACACGCCTTTAAGACTCCTGCGTGCCGACAGCAGCGAGTCTTGCCAGCACAAGCAAAAAAAAAACCACATCATCAAGTTACATTTGTTGTTTTTTCGACTTAACACTCGCCGGAGCACATGCGGGTTTACAAACGAAAACGAATCGACAATAATTGTACTGCGTAGCACGGGAGTTACGCCACGGTCGTTTCCATTGCTGCCGTGTGGCTCTCCCCCCCACGTTTTTTTTTTCTCTCTCTCGGCGATGCGCGTTGGTTCGGCACGACGTCCGACGTTTCGTGCCGCGTGCCGGGGAGCGTTTCTCCTTAGCTACATAAAAAAGAAATGCCTCCAAATATTGGCCGATGGCCGCTGTGCGCGTTTAGGAACTGGTAACGCCAGCAGCAGCAGCAGCTAGCAGCAGCTAGCAGCAGCAGCAGAAGCAGCAGCAGCAGCAGCAGCAGCGGGTGACGCTTTACAATCGGGGGGCAGAGAAGACGTCAAGGTTTGCTCGACTCGGTTCCTGACAAAGGACCCCGGCACGTGCGGCAAAACGTCGGACACGGAGCGGAACGACACTGCACAACGGGCACGCCTCGAGTACACATGGGAAGGGACCGCATCAAAGCGAGCATCAATACTTAACACGGTTTTTGTTGTTTCTTTGATTCACATTTTTAATCTGGAGTAATCCTCCGGTTGGAGGACTTTTCTTTTTTAACGTCAGCTCCAGATCCGATTTAGTAGCTTTGCGGAGATCCGATTTGATTCGAACACGTTCCACAAACGTTAAAAAAACCCAGAGATCCAATTTGATGAAAACACGATTCCACGAACTTTAAAAAAGAAAATAAACCGGAGATCCGCATTGATTTGAACACGTTCCACAAACTTACAAAAAACCAAACCGCCCAACCCAAACCAAACACACACGAATCTTAGCTTAGAGAGAGCGAGAGAGAAAAACCAAGAACCGAGAGAAAAGGGGGCCGATTTCTGTCCGAGTGGGGAAAAAATGGGGAACAAACGGCGTTATGGCAGATGTTGGTGTTTTTTGTGTTTTGTCTTACAAAAACTTTAGCGCAAAATCCCCCCCCCCACGCGTTGCTTGGCGTTTGCCAGGAAAAGTACCAATCAAACAAGCCACAAAAGCACGATAGTTACCTCATTAGAGATTGTGAAACGTTAAAAGTCTCCCCAACCTACCCATTGTAAACGTAGTTCATTATTTGTTTTATGTAAAGTACACATGTACGTACAGCTATATATATACTGTTCACATGTTTTGTGTGTGTGTGTTTTAATATATAATTATGTTTATGACAATACCTTCAAACCTCCCCACACAGTAATGCACATGTAAAAAAAAATCAAAAAACCACTCCCATAGTGACACTGGATTTTAGTTTTCCCCGTTGTTATTTTTTTCTTACACATATGGCAAACGCCGGTTGTTACCATAATTAAGACAATCGTTGCCACTAACATCATCGTCATCATCAACGTCATCATCGTCGTCGTCGTCATCATCGTCATCGATAGGGCATCACGTGACAGAGCATCCAGCAGCAGCGGCAGCCCACGGACGAACGGAACGAAACGAATATATCGATGGCGTCGACGCCGATGGAGAAGAAAAACGGGTCTCGATTTAAAGATGCTTCTACTATTTTTTTTTTATTTTGCCAACACCAAATCCCACTAAATTATTGTTGTCATCATTAGAATTTCATTTATTTATTATTATAATCGTCCCAGAGTTGCATTTGATGGGCGTTGGGGGCGTCGGAGGGCGTGGGCCGTCTCGTCCCATACGCTCCGACCCGGTCACCCCGTTTACATGTATTATTAAAAACGTAACGGGTAAATTATTAAACGCTTGCGAGCCAGCCAAGCCAGGCGAGCCAGCCAAGCCACCTGAGCCAGGCAAGCCAGGCGAGCTTTTTCGGTCTCAACTGGCTGGCCGGCCGGCTTGTTTTGCCGCCACGGGGAATAATTCAACATTTCGCGAATTAAAAAAAAAAACGGCCGGGTCAACAAGAGTGTCCCATGCGGACTGCGCGTGGGCACTGTGATTCGTGCCAAGCTGGCACCGGTTAAGTTACAAGACAAACGAGCGTCGATCATTCGCACCGATAAGATTGAGCGACTCGCAAATGGTGCCCCTGCTGCTGCTGCTGCTGCTGGTCACGGACGGCATCAGGAAGGCACGGCTCTCCCCCCGTCCGTCCGTCCGTCCGTCCATCCGTCCGCCCCATGCCCTTGTCTGCGTGCCACGTGCCCACCGCCGCACGAGCTACGCCCTCTCGGCCTTGTCTGGACCACCGACTCGGGAGAGCTGAACGTGCGGCTGTGTTGCTGCCTTTGCTCGTTGTTGTTGCCGCTGCTGTCGCTGTTGTTGCTGACGCCGTTTGAGCCGGTGAAACGCATGCGGGGCGCGCGCGCGCGCGGAGAGAGAGAGAGAGCGCCGTGGCCGCGTGATGGGCGCGCAAGCGTACGGCGTCATTGTCTAGCTCACGGATGGGAGTCTGCGCCGTCGCCTGCGCGCTTCATTGAGAACGAAATTGCTCCGGGCCTGCGCGCCGCACTATGCCGTGTTGATGCGATTTCGCCCACAAAATGTTTCTTCTCATTATTATTATTATTATCATTGTATTCAATTGCCATCGCGATGGTCAAGATCATATGCCGCGCGCAGCAGCAGTAGCGTCAGCGTCGCCGGCGCCCTTCCTTCGCGACGTTCGCCCCATTGCGCCACGACAGCTGACGCGGATGCACCAAAGCGCGCTCAAATCATCGTCGCCAACAGCGGCAGCATTCTCCGTCTGAGCCGTTTTGGCGGCGGTCACCACCGCCGCCGTTGCCGCCGCTAACGCGTTGCGCACAGTAACTCCTCCCCCTTAAGCTGGGCGAGTGCAAACGCGTCGTTAAGCCCGCCGCCGCCACCCGACACGGCCAATCGGTGAAGAAGGGTGTTCGTCGTCACGTCAACCAGAGCGCGGCAATTAAAAGTTACCGGTTCGGCACTGGGCGGTCGCGTGTTGGGGAGTAAAAAAAAAAAGAAAATCATCACCCACAACGACGATGACACTTCGAGTAGCCGTGACGTTTCGCCGGCGACTTACAAACCAGCAACAACAATAAGCAACAATGACGACGATGATGACGCGTCAACTGGCGACAGCAAGAATCATCCCTTAAGCCGTTTGCCACATGTAAGTAAAAAAAAAACCCACAACGAGACAGAGAGAGAGACAGAGAGGAGCAAGGTGGGGGGGGGCTGCCCAAATTTCACAGGTCCCTGGGCACCCCCCCCCCCCCACTACCTTGGAGACAAACGTAGCGGGGATATGGGGGGGGGGGGGGTGTACGCGGGGAAGCTTCACACCTCGGTCGGCTGGAGCATCGTGTGCATCAGCTGCTGCTGAACCGGCGGATAGATCAAGTAATTGAGATTGACGCAGGAAAATCCGTCAAAGTCGCTCTGGTCGATGTTAGCGATTACGTATTGGTCCGGCGGAGTCAGCACGGGCGGCGCGCGTGTAAAATACTTGTCGAAGTTTTCACCGTTTTTCCCGCACTGTGTAAAAAAAACAAAAGAGGGGGGGGGGGGGGAAGAGGAGGTAGGGAGAAGGTGTGGGTGGGTTGGGATGTTGTTTTTGGGAGGGTGGGGGGGGGGGGGCGATGTTGAGTGCAGGAGAGTGTGCGGGGTTGGGGAGGAGGTGGAGGGAAAAGATGTGGGTTGCATGGTAAGGGGGTGGGGGGCAAAGAAAAACAAAGGAAACATAAAAAAGTTAAAACTCAACGGAACTGTTGGAGGTTACATGCATAGAATGATCACTGTGCAGGAATATCGAACGACGGCGACGGCGTCGCTGGGTTAATAAACGGGACGGCCGCCACCGACACCTCCGCCGCCACCACTATTGCATTGTAACGGCCGCCCCGTTGTAAGGGCCACAGCGTCGTAACGGCCGCCCTGTTGTAACGGCCGCGGCATTGTAACAGCCGCCCCGTTGTAACTGCCACGGCGTCGAAACGGCCGCCCCGTTGAAACGGTTGAGGCATTGTAACAGCCGCCCCGTTGAAACGGTTGAGGCATTGTAACAGCCGCCCCGTTGTAACGGTTGAGGCATTGTAACAGCCGCGGCATCGTAACGGCCGCGGCATCATAACGGCCGCCCCATTGTCACGGCTACGGCATTGTAACAGCCGCCCCGTTGCAACGGCTCCGGCGTCTAAACGGTCGCCCTGTTGTAACGGCCGCGGCATTGCAAAGGCCGCCCCCGGCGTCATAACGGCCTGAGTGCTGGGGCTGTGCGTGTGGAGGTCGCTGCTTCCATTACATCTCCCGGGGGCGGCGGTGGCAGTGGCGGCAGTTGCACCGATGGGTGGGGGGGGAGGGGCGGTAGGTTTCTCAAATCAACAAAACCAACAATCGTGCGAGTGTACAAATACAATGAGCGAGTGACAACCCTCTTTGTCAGTCCGCTGCTGGACGAGGACCTCCCGGGCCCCACCCCCCCCCCACACACCCGGATCAGTTTAATGGGGTTGTTTGACCATACTTCACCAGGCTGTGTCAGTGCGGGTTGCTGACGGTGGGGAGTAGGTGGGGAGCGGCGTGGGGGGTGGATGTGGAGGGGAGTGTGGCGGGGACGTGGGAGGGTGGGGAGGTAATACACAGGACTGGATAATGTTGCTGTCAGCCGAGGGCTGGGAATAGAACTCGGGTTCACCGGTGTCCGCAAGGCAGCGCGCGCTATCCGCAGTGCCGCCGCTCCCGCGTGCGGATGTCACGAGATCGCAAACGGGATCAACGGAAGACCAATCAGCTTGACGCGACTCGCTAATGATCGGCAAAGCTTGCCAGCGACATGCCAAAATAATAACAACAACCCGCCGCTGTGTACGGTTAAAAGATGCGAGTGAACGAGCCGGTAAAATCAAACTGTGGAATTTTGAATATTTTTTTTTTGGAGGGCGACGCGGAGAGGCCCCTTGATGCTTTAAAAGTTCCCAGCAACACCCGCGGGTTGTTCTAGTGTGGGCTATCTAGAAATGGATCACATTGATGCGATTTACTTGCACTACACAACAGTTCATTGGGACCCTTATCAATCCACTGCTGGATGAACGCCCCCCCCCCCCCCAACCAATTCTGTGCCGGTGGGGGGGGGGGGGAGGTAGAGTTGGAGGTTTAGGGGGCGCATCATGTCACCAGTTCGGTTACCGCTCGCCACTGATGTCAGCCGTGGCCGGGAATCAAACCCTGGGTTTGGTTTGGGGTTCGGCGGTTCAACTTCGATTTGAAGTCTCCTCCAATTGAGTTCTCGGTTCTGACCGCCGACGTTATCGCAACGTCCGTTACACATGGCAACGTGAGGCGGAGACCAGAACTCACGTGTGGTAGTCGATCCACAACAACAAGAACAACAACAATAACAACACGAATATCCATCGTCGTCAGCCGTCGACGTCAGCCGCGTTCAATCCACTGCTGGATGGAGGTCTCCCCAACATCTATGTGACGCGAAGAATCCGCCCCCGGCAAAAACCCCGGCTCCGGCTCCTTGATGGTCGTGCTGTCTCTTGGACGCGATCCGTTCCGTGGCTGCCGCTCTGTTATTTTTCTCACGACCGTATCGGCCGCGGGCAACTCCCGGTGACGTGCCCTGACCTGCCTTGGCCTGCCCTGGCCTGCCCTGGCCTGCCCTGGCTTGCCCTGGCCTGCCCTGGCCTGCCTTGGCCTGCCTTGGCCTGTCCTGGCCTGCCCTGGCTTGCCCTGGCTTGCCCTGGCCTGCCCTAACCTGTTCTGGCCTGCCCTGACCTTGCTCCCTAAGGCCACCATCGAACGGTGCACAAATTGCAGCGGGTAAATATCAATAAGAAATTTAAGACGAGGTAATAAAATATATATATATTTACACGTTCTTTCACACTGTGCTTGGCGGTTAAAGTAAAATTGGATTCACAGTGGCATTTGGGCACAAGAGACGCAACTTTTTTTTTTACACACATGCATTTACGTAAAAAATGTTGTTGGCAGTCGTATTTACGTATGTGTGTTTGTCTGTGTACATGTACAAAGCCATTAGATGGCAGATCAAACTAATCGCTCACACCTCGTAGGTTACTAACTAGGTAGGCAACACCGCGCCCCGTCCTTTGTAAAGATGTTATCCGCGGTTTCCGACGACGCCCAACTCAGACCGACGTGCGTACTCGTGTCACGTGCAACCTGCCCACGGAGCCACCAGGAACCCCACTTGCGAGTTGGTTGGGGGGGGGGGGGCCTCCTCCTCCGCACCCCCTTCCACGATTCCGGGTGACCCCCACGGTTGAGGCACGTGCGGCCGAACTTATTTCGCACGGTAACGTAGCCCGGCCAATCGGGGTGTGAGGACTGCGTTTCGCCCCGGCCCGCCCCAACTTTTGCCGCTCATCTCCACCTTGGTTTCCCACTCTCCCTTCCATTTCCCATTTTTACGTCCCCAGTGAGATCAAAAGACGCCACTTACTTGCACCTCAACCTCTTTTCAATAGTTTGTGTTCTTTTTTCCGGCACCCCTTGCTCTCCCGTTCACGTTCGCACCACCTGGCGTGCTGCCCTTCATCTATTGGCCGTTAATTTCCTCGCTTGCACGTACCTCTCGCATCGTATGTAGCCAACCGTGCTAATCGAAGGTGTAGTGTTGAGTCTATGGGCGGCGTTGAGTCTATGGGCGGCGCTGAGTCTATGGGCGGCGCTGAGTCTATGGGCAGTGCTGAGTCTATGGGCAGTATGTATGTTTAACTCCTTTGGACTGTACGTAGCACAAAATCGTGCTAATTGGAGGTGCAGGGGGTAGGAAAGTCGTGTAATATTCTTCAAGGGCCCTGCTTATACTCGTTGTCTGCTATATCAATGTTTTTTTCTCCTTGTTTTTGCTGCTGAAGCTGCTGCTGCTACTGAAGCTGCTACTGCTGCTGCTGAAGCTGCTGCTGTTAAAGCTGCTGCTGCTGAAGCTGCTGCTGCTGAAACTGCTGCTGCTGCTGCTGAAGCTGCTGCTGCTACTGAAGCTGCTACTGCTGCTGCTGAAGCTGCTGCTGTTAAAGCTGCTGCTACTGAAGCTGCTGCTACTGAAACTGCTGCTGCTGCTGCTGAAGCTGCTGCTGTTAAAGCTGCTGCTGCTGAAGCTGCTGCTGCTGAAACTGCTGCTGCTGCTGCTGAAGCTGCTGCTGTTACTACTACTACTGAAGCTGCTGCTGCTAAAGCTGCTGCTGCTGTTACTGAAGCTGCTGCTGCTGCTGCTGAAGCTGCTGCTGTTACTACTGAAGCTGCTGGCGCTATGGCCCAGGCAGCAGCAGGGATCTCCCGTGCAAACTCGCGGGGCAACTGGCTAGACGTGATCATCATCAGTGTCACAAATGAAATAAAACTCAAGTTTAACACGTCGTAGGCTTTCGCGGACCAATATTATTCACAATGATGGAATTTTCGGGTTAGATCACGTGGAGTATAAATGTGTCGTAACCCTCCACCACCCGACACAGCCAGTAAGGTTTGTCACGTAAACAACGCGCGCCAATTAGTTACCAGTATAGTGTATAGTGCAGTGTATAGCAGTGTAGTGTATAGTGTAGTGTATAGTGCAGTGTATAGTGTAGTTTACTACTCCAGCCCACCGCTGTGTTGGAGAGTCAATCCACAACGTAAGAATATTCTGTCAAATCGCCCGATGATGATGCCGGATGTAATTAACAGCGAAATGTCAAGGTAGTCAAATTGTAAATGTTGTGGATTTACTCTCCAACACCGGTGGGCTGGAGTGGTAAACTACACTATACACTACACTGCTATACACTACACTGCTATACACTGCACTATACACTACACTATACACTGCACTATAAACTACACTATACACTACACTGCCATACACTGCACTATACACTAAACTAGTAACTAATTGGCGCGTTGTTTACGAGACAGACGTTACTGGCCGTGTCGGGTGGTGGAGGGTCACGACACATTTATATTGACGCGGTCTAACCCAAAAACCTTTATTATCAAACGACAACTATCAGTATAATAATAGTGATAAAGGTTTTTTTTGGGACAAAGCGGCGCCGTTCATGCGAACTGCATCTCGCGTGACGCAATCCGCAACACGCGCAACGGCGATTCCATCTTCGGAGATAAAACTCGGCCAATCGATGACGAGAGTCTTTATTACGGGTGGTAGGACATAGTGCTGAACGATTTGGGGAAAACATCTGATTGCGATTTTTCTGACAGATATTGCAATTGCGATTAGCGATAATTTTTTTTTTAAAGTCAAGCTTCAGTTCAATATTCAGTGTGTAATCGTTTTAAAACACGTGATGGAGCATTACTACATGAGCCCATCAAGATATGAACTGCTCTAGATATTCTAATGCAAGGATGATAACGTGAATTGCTTCCAACATGTATCAATCAAAATGTTTCAATTGAAATAGAACAATAAAACATAGAACAATTGTTAAGCGAAATAAACAAAGTTATAATAATAAAACAAAATAAAACGATTCCAATGAGAAAGTAATAGGACTTTT